AGCCCCAATTAGAGAGTGAAACCCAAACAGTACCACACTACTCCTGTCGGCTGATGCACACACTCCTCGTCGGAACCCTAACCTCATCGGCGACACACCCCCTTTCCGTCTTCCCACTCGCGGCCGAATTTCAGATTGAGACCTAATTGCTCCGCCTCAAGTGACTGAGGCGGAGTAATTACGGCCGCCGGAGCAGGCGTGGCTGAGGCGAAGGGCAATTATGGCCGTCTGATGATCACTCGTTCTCTCTCTACGCTCATACCTGTTGATTTCAAAACTGCCGCAAGCCATTGCCGTTCCATCCCGCCAAGCCGTGCCGCAAGCTCACAGCCGAGCTTCTTCTTCCATCACCGGTCAGACCATCACGGCCAAGCCCTCACCGGCCGACCTCTTCACAGCTGACCCCTCCATCGCGGCTGAGTCCTCGAAATCATCCAAAGTCGAAACCGCCGAGCCCGTATTCCTCCTTGCCGGCCGTTCCTCTCACCGCCGAGCCCTCCATCCCTGCGCCAGAGATCCATATACCCTGCAAAGATGGTATGGCAGAGAGCTGTGAAGAACCCACCGGTGACAGAACTGAGTGCTGCGACTAGCAGTGGAGTCGGGCTTTGCAGGACTGGACGTACCGGAAGTGGTGGTTAGGATGATTGATGAGCTCGGAATTGCCAAGCATGAACTTGACTTTATCAATGGTGGTGGAGGACTGCAAATGGGTCTGCTGGCTTGTGGTTGATTGAAGAAGATGGGTGCTCACTTTGGTAGCGAGAACTGTGCAAGCACGGAACTGGGTTTGCTTTTTGATTTTTTAATTAAAACTCACCAAAGTAAGACAAAAGTGAGGAACAAAGTCAAGTTACGGCTTGAGCACAGATACATTCACATATATATATACATATATATATATATATATTTGGCCTTGTTTGGTTACGGCTTTAGCACTATTCCGGAACTACACAATAATAAGGGTACATGTGTCATTTGATTCAGTGAGCTTAAACACACACAATTCCGGAATGGACTGAAATGCAACAAATTCATAGTTCAAGAGTTTTTTTGTAATTCGAGGGGGTTAGTTGCAATATGCCAATAGTTCAGGAGTTTTTTTTGCATTTAACCCTATTATTTATGGTAACAAAACTCACAAGTCTATTCAAACATTTTATTGAAGTCTAAGTTTGGGTCATAAAATCTTAATTTAAGCTACACCCCGCTTAAATTATTAATACTAAATTCATTCTTTTATTTAAAACACTCCTCCAAACATGGCCTTTTTTTAGTCTAACAAATATTTCAATTTTAATTATTAATATGATGGTGAAACTTGAACTCAAAATTTCACCTGCTCTAATATCATATACGTTAATAATCAGATGTAAAATACATATACTCCAATAGTACTTATGCGGCCTACATGAATGCTGAAAGGAGGTAATTGGTCGCAATCGATCATTTTTGTTTTTAAACTGTACATCTTATGACGAACTTTACCACTGCATCAAACAATAATACTAGAAAACACTATTAGTGTCAAATTGATTGTCTTTATATAGTAGTCTTGCTAGAATTAAAAAAACAAGAAAAAAAACTAATTCAATATTATACAACTTGGGACTTATTAAAAATAATAATTAAACAAACAACTTTTTTATAATATTGAATTAGTTATTTTTCTTATTATATATAAAGAAAAATAGAAGTTGTGCATTGGATATGGCTATAAAAGCAAAAAGGTGCCTAACTGAGAATGAAGAAATATAAATAGAGACTATAGAGTCAAATTGATTGTCTGTATAGTCTTGGTAGAATAATATGAAAAAATAACTATTTCAATATTATACAACTTGGCACTTATTAAAAATAATAATTAAACAAACAACTTTCTTTATAATATTGAATTAGTTATTTTTCTTATTATATATAAAGAAAAAGAGAAGTTGTGCATTGGATGTGGCTATAAAAGCAAAAAGGTACCTAACTAAGAATGAAGAAATATAAATAGAGTCAATTGATTGGCACGATGTTAAATTTGGTGCTTCCTCAACCCTTCTCTTGAACTTCCCTGAAGGTCCAGTAGACCCCAGTTCCCCAACTTTCTTTTGGGTTTTACTTTTTGGCAGACTACTTTGATTTTTCAAACCATGACTATATATATATATATATATATATATATATATATGAACTGCCATCATGCTACAATTGAAAATCCAACATCTGTTACAACTTATAAGTGTACGGTGCAGACTACTCTACATCTGTTACAACTTACAAGTGTACGGTGCAGACCACTCTCTGTTCACTAGTAACAGATGTTGGATTTTCAATTGTGGCATGGTTTGCAACAGGCGGTCATGGTCGCAATATTGGTTGCGATGGACTTGGACAAAATTAGTATAAACTAATCGATACATGTTCATATTAGATTTAAAAAAGAAACGCGTATCAGACAATACGACGAAGCATGAATCGTGTCTTAATTGAGAAAGAGAGAGATCTTAATAGGGAGAAAAAGCTCCTGATGGTAAGTCTTGAAATTTAGGTAGAAGACTTAGATGCACCATAAATTTTTACATGGTCCAGATACGAAAATAAATAAATTAATTTTATTTAAGTTTTTACCTACGTGTTAGATTATAATTGGTGGGGAGTCACGACTATATATAATATGGTCTAATTTCTCTTGATACTGAGCTTGAGATGACTTTTAAATGTCTCTTTCTAATTACAAATTGAAACGGATTGACTTTAAATATGATTAAATATATGAAATCACTAATTTAAATATGATTTATGTACACATGCTGTACTCGATGACAGCTACTTGATGATGTCACCAATATGAGCATATATGCGAATGCTACTTCCTAATTTCCATGATTTGAAATACACGTCAATTCTCGGGCCGTGTTATATTTAAATTGGTTCGAGGTTGATTTTTTAATCTCTTCTTTTTAAAAAAATTATTAGATAATTTAGACCATATATATTTCTGTCAAAAAAAAAATTGATACATGTATTTTACACTGACACTCCAAAAATGCGTAAAATTATTATATATTTTACATAACTTTTTTACACAATTATATCAGCATATTTCCTTTCTCTTTCTATTTTCTCATTCTATTAACAAATCAGTCCTATATTAATAATTCTATATTAAGTAAGTTTGTAAAAATTATGTGCATTCAGACATAACATTTGTTGGTTGTTATTGGAGAATATATTAAATAGGTTTGTAAAAATTATGTAAAGTTCAGGCACGACACTGGTTGGTTATTATTTGGGGATCATATTTTTACACAAAAATTATAAAACAACGGCTGGAGTTAAAAATAAATAATTTAAATTTTTTGTATAAATCTATTATAACATATAATATTTATACAAAAAAATAAATATACATAGTGATTGGAGATACTCTGATAGTCATGCTGATTTTGTCTATTTATGTGTACTAAGTGGTTACTCTTAGACTCGTATATATGCAGTTTTATTCTAATCATGGATATGCAAGTTTATATAAAGCAATGACAAACTTATCTCCAAAATGATATAATAAAAGTGTTTATTGAGGTTTTACTTCTTAGTACTGGTAATAATTATTATCGATTATTTGAGCCAAATAATAATAATAATAATAATAATAATAATAGTTAGGTGGTTCTTAAATTGACCGATCTTGATGCATGGATAAGCCTAGTGGGACCTTGGCCACATATCTCACTTGGTTTTTTTCCGGGAGAGCATCATATATTCAATATATGTTTTGACATATATATATATACACACACACTCCGTATAACAAAATTTGTTGCCTTCAACTACCTTCATAAAGTTTGGAATTGATTACTACGACACAACCAAACATCAAGTGGCACCATGTACCAAACAAAATCTAATCATTTATATATATATATTCAACTACCTTCATAAAGTTTGAAATTGATTACTACGACACAACCAGCACCATGTACCAATCAAAATCTATATATATATATATATATATATATATATATATATATATTTTGGGACTCCATCTACTTGCACATTTTTTAAGAGTAACTTACTGTTTTATGTAAGGGTGGATTTTCATCAAATTGATTGCAAAATTGAATACTTTTGTTATGCTTTGCCTATTTTTGTTTAGGACTTATCTTGTTAAAATAATTAAAAATAACTTGATTTGTCATCAACTATAAAGTATCATAGAAAAAAGGGGCAAGTTCTGCATTGATGAACCATGATCGTCACTTTTATTCTTCACCTAATGTAATAACATTACATTACAAATGTAACAATTTTAAATTGATAATTCAATAATTATGTCATTGTGTTAAATATTTAAGATAATGGTATTATAACGGAGCAATACTATAATATGTTGTATGAATGTATTTTTAATATAAATGTGTTGGATAATATTTTAAAATAACTATATAAATTGGAGGGAATCGTGATCCATTGTATGGGTATAGATGTTACAAGGGAAATTTGTCTCAAAAAAGATTTGGATGGAAAAGTGTATCGATATATATGGATTGGGTGTTAGCCGCACTTTATAATTTAAATTTTTGTGTCAAATCACGAAACACTCGACTAGTTGCGGAAGGTATCAAAGTCAGATTTAATTTTTAATTAATTAATTCAGTGAAATTCACCAGATGTGTTCGGGTACATCACCCCGTGTAGGCAGAATGCCCCACCCCAAAATGGGTATATATATATATATATATATATATATATATATATATTACACTAGTTTAACTTAAGTTGTTGTTATTTATTTATTTATTTATTTTTTAAGGAAGAATTATGTAAGCAAAGTCAATAATGCTTGCCTGATTGGCACGAGGTTAAGTATGGTACTTCTTTAGTCCTTCTGGTGAACTTCACTGAAGGTCCCGTAGACCCCAAAATTTTTTTATATGGTTATTTTTGCGTTTTACTTTTTGGCACGCTACTTTGATTTTTCAAACTATGACTATATATATAGGTGGAATGAGAGTGTTCTGCACCATACACCTGCAGAGTTCTTGGATATTCAATTGTGCCTTGTTTTAGAGAGAGATAACTTGATAGAGAGAGAGAGAGCTTCTGAAGATCTGGTCTTGAATTTCAGGGTAAAGAACCTTGATTCATAGCTTTTTTTTTGATAAATTAATTATCTAGTTTTTAATGGGTATATGTTTTAATGTTCTATGATCGTGTATGTTGATTGTTAGTTCTTTGTTCTTGATGGGTTTTAGTTAAAATGCTGGTTTTGTTTCTGGTTTGGATGTTTTGATGATAAATAGTAGGTACTGTTTGATTTTGGGTGTAAAATGAGTTTTAAGCTGTTGTTTAGTTGGGAATTTGACTTGCTTAATGAATCATATTGCCCTAGAAATGATTTGGGGGTTTCAGTGTGTGTGATTGAACAATAGGGTTTGGTTTCTCTTTGATTCTTCTTCAATCCTTCTCTATAACTAAAAAAAGACTTTTCTTGGAGTGTAAAGCATGTTATGTGTTTGTTCTTTTGACAACCCAGTTTCATATTCTCTGAATATATTGCAACAAGTTGCTAATGATCCTATTTTATTACCTCTGAACTCATAGAATTGTCCTTCGTTTTAATGTCTTGGAAAGCTTTGACAAAATTTGTTCTTTATTGCTGTTGAACAGGTTTTGTTACTCTCTAATCACAAATGGGCCTCTCTCTTTCCATTCTCTTTTCGGCGTGGAAAGAGATACTGAGACACAAGTTTTTCGGTTCACTGGACACCATCAAAACGGTCCTAGTGTGGTCTATGAGCTTTGAAAGAGAAGATGGAGAATTGAGCTTGAGAACAGTTGGATTCAAGAGAGATGATCTCCAAACCATTGACAAGGCTGATGGGTCTGATAAAAGACCGCAGTCTTTAAAACCAAAGCTCAAAAGCCCTGTTTTATTCAAGGATTTGGTTATTGACAAAGAGAATATGAATTTCATGACTTCGAAGGACAATGATCAAGTCCGAGTCCATAATTCAAAGCCCACAATTCCACGTCCTGAACCTTTCGTATTTTTTTCTCCAAGACCCGTTCACGAGCTTGATGCTGCTGCAACGACGGTTCAGAAAGTCTACAAGAGTTACAGGACTAGAAGGAACCTAGCTGATTGTGCAGTTGTGGTTGAAGAGCTATGGTTTGTATCTACATAAGCTAATTCATTACTTGTGTTAAATTACCATTTGCCTGAAGACTGTCTTTAGTTACTTTGGTGTATTGATTGATTTGTTCTTCTGTCTTTTATCTAAATATTTTAGGTGGAAGGCCTTAGATTTTGCAGCTCTACAACGGAACTCGGTGTCATTCTTCAACATTGCGAAATCAGAAACTGCTCACTCACGGTGGGAACGTGCGAGGACAAGGGTTGCCAAGGTCTGTTATTAGTACATTACAAATTACCAGTTATATTTGGAGTATTATTAAATAATAATATTATCCTATTATTGCCTTCTGCAGATTGGGAAGGGTTTATCCAAGGATGAGAATGCTCAAAAACTAGCTCTACAACATTGGCTTGAAGCTGTAAGACCACAAACTTATAAAACATGTCTGATAATATATAACTAGTTCAAATATTAATTGTGTCAATTAGGCTCGTCAATCTGATGCAGTAACTCAGAACTTTGACCATCTGTGCATTGATAATTTAAGTTTCCCCATATACTTTGTAGTCATGCGAACTGAGAAGGACCAAAAGTAGACGTGTTTTGAGTCCTCATGTTTTCTCAATGAAAATTGGGGATGGTTTGATAGAAGCATGTTGGCCCTTGTTGATTTGTCTTTGGGGAAACAGTTGAGCCATAGAGAATGGTGGGTCATGAGAAGAATTCATATATTTCCTTATTTATTAGAAATGCAAGGTAATATATTTCCATGCATTTCTCTTTGAATGAAGAAGGCTAAATGCTATTATAGTTACCCACAAAGGATTTTAGACCGAGTCGAAGTTTGGGGCTTTTGGGTAATACATACAGCTACGGGGTCTTTATAAACTTGGATTGTTGGATATAATTTCTGATTGTTGAAATTGGAGCCATATAAGGGACTAATATAGTTCATTATTCTCTGTTTGTATTATAGATTGATCCGCGTCATCGATATGGACACAATTTACATTTTTACTATGATGTATGGTCGAAGAGCAAGAGCACTCAACCTTTCTTTTATTGGTAAGCGTGCTATGTTTTGATACAATCTTCTTCTTCTAATATAAGCATGTACATAAGTGATACCTGACCTTTTACACCATGTTGTTAACCTTTTAGTTTTCTATTCTTTAAATGAAGGTTGGATGTCGGTGATGGTAAAGAGATAAATCTTGAAAGTTGCCTAAGAAATGTTCTACAACGTCAATGCATCACATATCTTGGACCTGTAAGTCCTATCCCTTTGACAGTTTGCAATTACAATTGATAACACCCCTCCTCCTAGTGTGCGTGAATACGCGTATATATGTACACTAATAAGAGGATCTGTGCAATAGAAGCGTGCATGAACATTTGTGTGAATCTCAAACATTCTGTATTTTGCTCTCACAGAAAGAAAGGGATGCATATGAAGTGATTGTGGACGACGGAAAGCTTACATACAAGCAAAATGGGATTCTCCTAAATACAATTGAAGGTTCTAAGTGGATTTTTGTCCTCAGCACATCGAGGAATTTGTATGTGGGACAGAAAAAGAAAGGTGTTTTTCAACACTCTAGTTTTCTATCCGGAGGTGCTACAACAGCAGCTGGTAGATTGGTTGCCCATGATGGGATTCTTGAGGTAGAAATTGTACATAAATGCTTACACGTGTGTGTATATATATATTGCTATATCCATTTGAGCTTATTCTTTGTTATTTACCTCAGGCAATATGGCCATATAGCGGTCACTATCTCCCAACCGAAGACAATTTCAAGGAATTCATTAGCTTCCTCGAGGAATATCATGTCGACTTGACTAATGTTAAGGTAATTAACCGTTCTACCATTATATTTATGCATTTGTATGTATGAACATTGATATGTCACACCAAAGATTACTCAAAGCCTCTTATGAAATGTTCAACTAATTTACATGGTCAATCTCTGAGATTTACTAACTCGCGACGAATTAACATAGCTGATATTCACCATTTTACTGCAGAGACGTGCAATAGATGATGATAGCACCTCATTTAAAGTTATTGATGAGGACTCCAAGACAGAGACAGTGGATGATCTGTCCACAGCTAAAATATCAACAGATATAGATGCTGCCAATGTCAATGGGTCCATGAATGATAAATTTGACACAACTTCTCCTGAAGAAGATGGTATGGGCACCAAAGCAACCAATGTAGAAGCACCCGTGTTTGACTTGTCCAAGCGCTTATCTTGCAAGTGGACCAGTGGCGTAGGTCCGCGTATTGGGTGCGTTAGGGACTACCCAATGGAGTTGCAAACGCAGGCACTTGAACAGGTCAACCTGTCACCCAAGCTCACACCTGGTCACTCAAGGTATTTCCTTCCGATTCCCTCGCCACGACCAAGTCCGAAGATCCTGGTTTCGCCTAGACTTTCATATATGGGACTCCCTAGCCCAAGGCCTATGGTTTCAGCTGCTAATTAGGGTTCAAATTTCCTTCAGAGGTTGAATGACATACTAAGATTTGATTCTGCTGAGTTTAAGAGGTTCTGAGATCTTTGACAAGCAGAAGGGCACTTCTTGTGCCTCCTTTAGTTAGTTTTTATAATAAGAGCTTTTAGCAGGTGTTGGGGATGTGAATGTACTTTCTCAACATTTTTCATTCTTTGATTCTTTGTTGTATGTGCAGTGAGTCTTTCTTCTTTGTAAGCTCTAAATATAATGTTTTCTAAATAATTGAAGGAATTTCTGGTTGATGCAAAGAGTGCTGTCAATGGAAGTTGGCGCGATATATTGGTCCACTAGTCTTGGGATTTCATTGACTTGACAGTTGACCTCCGTCTGCATTTGAACATCAAACCAGTGAGGGGTAAAAAATTAATTGGACCAAAATAACCTTCTTTTTGTGAGAAAATCAAATTATTCATTCATTAAACTCAAATTACTATCTTTACCCAGATAAAAATAACCTTATTTTATTTAGATCCGTGACCCACTTACACACTACCATAGGTGGCTGGAGTAACTCCCAACTAGATTTTTTGAGGGGGCGAAAACGTAACTTACCAATACACAATACCTTCTAATTGTTTTCATTAAAACAAATGATTTAACTCCAAAGTTAAAAACATAAATTTATACTCTGATTCCCTTCGGTGAAACGGTCAACTTGGACCTTTGTTTTACATCCTCCAACTTCTATCTACATGCACCAGATAAAAATATCTGAGGTGTTTTATGTAATTTTATTATTATTATTTTTTTTATTATTATTTTTTTTCAATCCATGAGAATTTTCTTTTACTGAATATGTAAACATAAGACTGAGAAATATTATGCGTTCAAACCGGTTGGACCATGTCTATATAACAAGTCATGGGTTGCTTTGACTGATAACATATTTTAGTCTGGAATGCATATATATATATATATATATATATATATATATATATATATATATTAGAAAAAAGTGTGTAAAAAAAAAAAAACACCTGAACTACTTGGATTTTGCAACTAACTCCTAAACTATGATGTTGTTGCTGTTAAGAATAGCATGTCATTGAAAAAATTAAAAAACATATTTAACCTTTTTAAAAGGACATAGTTTCAATAGCTATAAATTTAAGTGAATATGATAGAAGATGACGTTGATAGTGCAATTCATTGGACCAATAAGAATTTGACAACTAACATTGTAATATCTTTTTGCATTAAACAAGTCAAAGTGTCATACAAACCAGAAACTGAAAGAATAAATAAAAAACTCGAAGAAGGTTCATAACAATTTCAGAGAGAAGACGGGATAGAGAACGAACGTACGTAAGGGGCGTTAGTGTCTTTTCATGTTCACAAGGATATTATAGTTATTAAAATTATAGTGTGTCATGTGACCGTCACATGCTCATTTTAACGGTAAAATTTGATCGGAGCCTTGTTAGATGGGCAGATGGGACGATCTGCAACAAAATAACATAATTAAAAAAATTAGTTGTAAATTTAATATTTCAAGAATTAGTTGTTGATCTTTCAATAATTCAAGAGGCACTTCCTCAATTAAATTATTATATGGTACGCGACTCTTACAGGTAGAAGGAAATGAAAATGACAAGGATGTTGAATAATTTAAATATTTTATACCCACTTTCTGTGAATACAACACACATAAATGACAAGGTATTTCTATGAAAATGGCAATGAGGAAATATCACTGCCATTCCATTTATGTAGGGCAAAAGAGTTAAATGAATAATAATAATAATAATAATAATTAAATGACATCTGTACTATTTTTTGAACAATACTTTTCTCCTTATGCGTAACTAGGAGCTTAAAAAAAGGAAAAAAAAATCCATCCCATGTGAGGCCCACTACCATCAAATGACATGATATGATCCAATCATATCATGCTATTTTTAATATAGCACAAAAAAAAAAAAAAGAAAAAAAAGAAAAAGGATAAGAGAGAAGAAGAAAAAGGAAAGAGATGATACTATTAAATCACTTAGGTTCATTTGTTTCGACAAAAAATATTTTTTTAAGTAAATTTTTTTTTTTATTTTTACTTTATTAGTATTTGGTAAAAGTTTATATTAAAGTTGAGGTCGAGTCCATTGGGCGGGACATGTAAAATAATTTGTTGAAAATTTATAGATAAATTATTTTTGTTAAATTTTAATATATATTTTTTCTTCATAAATATTTTATGACAACCAAACACCAAAAAATAAATAAATATTTTACATCCAAACAAACGGAGCATTATTATGTTTGATTGATTAATAAAAGAAATAATAGTAATTACGTTTTTGATTTTTTTTTTATATATAAATAAGGGCAAAATTAGTATTAATAAAATTTTATTAAAAATGCTAGCCATTCTTTTCATTTCCCTCCATTTCCTCTCATTTTAAAAACCAACATATGATGCCTAAATTGTATCCTTTCGAATCTCTTCGTTTCTTTTCTTTTCCTTTAAAAATCTATTATAAACATAATATTTCATTTCCATCCATTTGTTGACACACAGAAATGGCAGACTAAGTGGCAGCCACTTTGGCATCCACGTGGACAAATGAGAGAGAGACAAGTGGACCAAATTCATGGTCAAACAATAGATTGACAGGTGGGCTTCATTGAAGGGAAATAAAATTCCACCACTTGTGTGGTCCGGCAGATAACAAATGTGTATATTTCAACTGACACTTGGAAGAATGTAGAAGTTCACATGTGGCAGAATTATATAGTAACAGCTAACTATATAATTCAGCCACAAAATGGGTATAATTAGTAATCCAAACAAGTCTTAAAAAAGAGGGACTTGTTTAAAATGATAATTTATTGGTTTCTTAAATTCAAGGATAATGGGTACGTGCTATAGTGAATTAGTGTAGTTCCTACAATTGAGGGTGTTAACTAGCTACATGGAGCATGTTTACAGAAAAGAGAGTGGGTCAACTCAATGCTACAAACAAAGAAGTGGGTTGGACACTTGGTAATCACAGAGATAAGGATAAGAGATGAAGGCCTATTTTGAAGGTAGTGGACTAACAATCAGTTTGCAAGTTATGAAGACTATATATATATATATATATATATATATATATATATATATATCTTTTATTTGGATAATAGGTTTGCAGTTGAAGGATCATGGGATAACTCGTGGGGACACATGGCAGCAGTGGAAGAAGGACACAATTCGTGGGTCTGGAAGTTAGGATTCTACCCCTGGACATGAGACAAGTGTCTTGTAAAAAAGAAATAGGCAGTTACTTTATAGGACATGGGTCCTTCTTGTAAGACTTGTAATGCCTATAAATAGTGTACTTATGACTACATTTTAAATTCTCTCAACGACATCAATCAACATTCAATACTCAGTATTTTAATTCATGCAATTTCAATACAAGTCAATTTCAATTCCTTTACATTAATGCACTTACTTTCAGTATTGCATTTCAATTCATTAGATTCTGGCACGCTTGCAAATTCTAAGTGTCCCAATTTTGTGGAAACATTAATTGGCACGCCCGGCCGGACATCTGGTAAGGTTATAATACCACAACTGATGATATTTCGACCATCTACCATTGGTGATCAAGTGTCATTAGCAATGGAGGCTATCGACAGAATGAACGCTAGCTTGGATAATATGGAAAAATCTTTCTCTCGGTTATCTGCCACTTTTCAAAGCAGGCTGGTACAAACAATAACTTCTGATACCTAAAACTCTGCCTCTCAGCCGATTTTTCAACAGGTCATTCAATCATCAACCATGCCAGTAACTATTTAGCCGATCCAGTAACTTCCGTAAGCAGTAACTTTCTAGCCACTCCAGTAGCAAGTTTTTCACAAAATTTGCCAACGACTTGGCCTGAAGTTCCGCTGCAACCTACCATTTTGCCATTGGTGGAACTGCCATTTCCGAAACTGATGTATCTGCCATATGTGACTCTACCACAACCATATGTATTTCCTCAAGATGTCTTCGGGAGGGAATCTCCTAACCCAGGGGGCAATCAAGTTAGGTGGAAAAACAATCCACTCTTTGTCCGAGTGCCGCAATTTGCGGCACTTGGGGGGTAGTCAATGACCAATCTTCCACAAGCTTGGCCAGAAAAACATCAATCACCTGTGGCAAATCAACCACTAGTGATAAATCAGACGCCACAACATAGTCTGTTCTTACCAAATTTTCAGCCAAATCAATCAAAGATTTGGGAAGAAAATCACCAGCAGAGAATTTTTTGGCTAGAAATGTCACAACTTTCGTGGCTGTAACAAATTCTTCCACAGGTAATTTAGACTTTATCACAACCAAATCTTCCACAACCAGTCGTTCAAGCTCTACCACAAGTTCCTCTTCTAGAGAAACCTCCTGACCCGGGGGGCAATCAGGTTAGATGGAATGATCCAAATCCTTTATATGACCCTACACCATATCATGTGTTGTTAGGGGGGCAAGGGCTGACCAATCCACCAAATTGGTCAAAATTTAGTCCTCGGCCACAAGTTCATCAGCCGGACCATCAAGTTGTACTTAATCGGAAAATATCTGCTACTGTCTTTCAACAAGAATTTAAGAAGAAGCCGAAAGTTATGGTTGATAATAATAACTCATTTTCAGCCAAGATGAGTAAGAATGATGTTGGATATTCTTCTAATCATCCTAAAGAGCAAATGGATTTAAAAGAAAACAAACCTGTGAATGAAAGAAAGCAAGAGTGTTTGGAAGAAACAGCATTTGCCAATCAAGGTAGAAAGATAATAGAAGAACTTCATATGCAGCTTAGAGAAGTTCAACTCACCTTTAATCAACAAGGTTATACTAACCAAGGATCAAATTGGCTTAAGTATCAGAAAACTTGGCCAAGACTGATATCTAATTCTCTGCCAAGACAATCATTGGCTGATAGTATTCTTCCTACTCATCATCCTCAACCTAATTGCAAAAAAAGAACACAACAGAGGAATGGCCATGAAAAATGGCTAAGGTAAAGATAAAAGTAAAGAGGCTTGACAAGCTAAAAAGAAGCAATTCCAGGTTGGTTGATGACCACAATCAAGAAGAAAATGGCTCAATCAGAGATATAATGGAACTTTCAGTTTTTTCCAAAGAAGATTTTTCTCCTCAGGAGGAAAATACTAATCAGCCGAAGACCAGTTCTTCAGAGATTCATAATCTTCCAAACAAAAAGGGATTAGTTTTGGAAGTATCCCTTATGAGTTTACAAAGTATGATCCAGTTCAAGAAGTCATGGGA